GCATAGCTAGGTCCCATTTTGGTGCCCATGGCTACACCATTGGTTTGTTTGAAGAAGTTGTTTCCGAATGAAAAACAATTGAGTGTGAGCACTAGTTCGGCTAAGCGTAGTAGTGTTTCAGATTTAGGTTCCTTAACAGTACGTTGATCAAAAAAATGTTTAAGGGCCAGAAGGCCTTCGCCATTAGGAATGACAGTGTAAAGAGACGTAATATCCATGGTGAAAAGAAGTTTGTTTTGGCCAAGGAAATTAAAGTCGCGAAAAATTTGAAGAGCGTGCTGGCTGTCTTTAATATATGATGGAAAAGTATTGACGATGGGAGCCATAATTTTGTCTAGATAGCTGGAGATAAGTTCGGTAGGGCAACTGCAAGCCGAGACAATGGGCGGACCCGGGTAGTTAGGTTTGTGAATTTTAGGTGACTGTTATATCTACTAAGGGCTCGTCCACACTAACGCGGATTCAAAAGTATGCGGATTCGTTTTACCGCAAACGCATCGATTGATCCGGGTCCACTCTACCGTTTTCACTGCTTTTCCGACCGTCCACACTAACACGCTGCGAATCTACTGTGAGGCATGTTAGTTATTCTGCGCATGCTCTGAAAGACGCGCCTGCGTTATTATCGGTTTTCCCGCCGGTACGAAATAAACACTCTTTGCAGCTTCAAAATCTTCTTGTCCTGGCCTGCCGTGTGTTCAAGCCAATTCGCCGATATGAGGTCCTAGAAAATGCTATTTCCCTCATAAGATTCGTTGTTCTTCTATGTGAGAATAATATATTAAATAGAGCGACATTAATTCCAAACAAGTGAGTAACAATAGAAGCAAATTTTGGTCCGCCATGTTTGTTTTGATGTTTGGTTTTCGCGCGAGAGCGTGTTATTGAACACGTACTACAGCTGACGTCATCGTTTCCATTTTTATCCGGATCCGACCGTACACACTAGCAAAAAGATATACGGATTCCTTTTTATCCACTTTCAACAGCGTTTCCAAACTTATACGGATTCGGTGGATCCGATCCGCTTGTTAGTGTGGACGGAAGGCCTAAACGTATCAAAAAGTATACGGATTCGAACGAATCCATGTTAGTGCGGACGGGCCCTAATTTAGAATCTCTTCGATTACCCTTTCAATATGTTTCCTCTGCGGTTACGTTTAATATAGAGACCACTTCAGTCGGTCACCGATAAAAATCACAACTGCCTTTAAATAGTATAATTTGGTTTGAACAGTTGCGTTGATGTAATTTGCCACCGGAAAAAAAGTTCTTAAGCATCACCATCGCTCTAAACACTTGCCCATTGCCATAAAATAGCTTGTTTCCGGCCAAATCTTGCTCGTCTTCACACTGATTCAAAGGTCGACCTCAAATGACTTATTAATGACCGTGAATTGTTTACGTAAATTCCACTGTCAGTACGTTATCCAATAGAGAGAGCCTAGCCCAAACTTTGGAGATTATTATGTTGATTTAACTAAAAACCAGAATTTTGTGTCCGAAAACCATTAAAATTTAACCACGAGCACTGAAGATTCTCAGTTATCTTCATCTGTGACGATAACTCAGTCGTCATGGCGATTAATTCGGGTGAGCATAAAAGCAGAACGGTGAAACGAAAGAACGGTGGAACGGCGGAACGGCGGAATGGCGGGAAAATTACCCCAATTCTTAAAAGACGGAAGGGCGGAAAAGTACCCCAAAAGAGCTAAGGATGCAAATTATGACCTTGAAAGCAACGACTCGAGGAATATTTTGAGTCGATGTTGCTTAAAAAGGCGTAATTTTCCCACAAATTATATGTCATATTGTTCCATACGCTCGAGACTTGCTATCAATGACTTATTAAAGTTTTACCACAAAATCTACCGTGACCCATGACATGACGCACGTGATCATTCACAGGCATATTTCACCATCTCTTTAGCAAGCGCGGCGACCATATTTTATTGCTTAAGTTTTAGAAACAGACACTCGAAGAGAACATTTAAGGAAAGTTTAAAAAACATCACTGGATTACTTAAATGTACGCGAGCGTGCCTCATATGGCTCACTTTGAAAAAAAGTGACAGCCTCAGAGTGAAAGTTGCTTGCACTTATGATGTCAGCAAACAATTGCCTGAAAAAACAAATTTTTATCTGGAATAACTGCAGAAGTCCCATTGACGTTTGGCCCCAAAATACGGAGGTGTTAAAGACTAAAAGAACTCTAGAGGTGCTTGGCATATGAACTGGCGAGGGGAAACGAAAAAATTACTTTATGAAATAGTACTTTGTGAAATGGTACTTTGCGGAATAATACTGTGGGAAGTAGTACTCGTCAAATGGCACTTTGCGAAGTAGCACTTTCCGAATAAAAAGTGTCCGAAATGGTACTTTGTGAAGTGGCACTTAAAGA